GCTGCGCCCCACCAGTCTGTCGTGGTCTGTCGCAGACAATACCTCATCGACACGCAACGCGACTGTTACTCTCTGCCAACTCAATATTTTCCCGCCAAAAATTACGCGCTCACCCGATGTTGTTTTATTGTTGTTGACTTTTATTATATTTCTAATTTTAAAATAGTGGTTCTATTTTCGACCAGTGATTATTAACATTTTTTGTGATGCGTTGTTTTTTTGTAATCCTAGTTTTATTCTTTGTGTTTTTACCAAAATCAACTGAGGCGATTCGATGGTTGTAAGTATCGTTTTTTTTTAACTTTACTTCCGTTTTAATTTAAATAATGCTACTTGCAAAAAAGGAAAACCAAGGATACTTACAATAGCTTGAAAATTTCTAGTATCGAAATTATTTGAAACCAATGAAAGTCTACTTAATGTAATCCGAGCAATTAAGACATATTCTAATTAAAAAAGCAAACAATTTACATAAAAATATTTTAATAAAAGAGCTTTGATTATTTTATTAAGTTACTTATTAATTAATTACCATACTTCTATAAAAACGAAACACTGTGCACCGACCCTACGGGAGTAGGATAAAGCAGGGGAGATGATGATGTTGATGATGACTACTACGAAAACTACTGAGTATATTAAAAAAATATAATTGACCAATAAGGAGCTTTTCAAATAGTAATTTAAAAGTGATGTTTTAATTCTTGCTTACTTGATAGCCAGCTTCACCACTAGCTAAGATCGACTAATGATATCTCTTAGATCATAAGTAAAGTTGTACCTAACTCCTTTCGTCAGAGGGATCGATAAAATAAACATTTCATAATATCTGCACGTGAAAAACGTATCGTATTCTTAAGCAGCGAACAATAAAGTTCCATAGTTATAATGGCCTATAAAGTCGCACAAAGAATCGGTCTATTTTAGTTTCAAAGACGATGATTATTTACAAATGTTTGAGATGTTTTATTTTTGTTTTCTGCGTGTCTGGTTTGAAGGGATGTTAATTTGAAACATGAAAGCATTTTTAAAAACGTGTAAATTCTTTGTACGCTTTTTTAAACTTTAAAAGCTATTCAATAATAGTACTTGCAATTCTGTTGAAATGCCTACATAAGCTTAATTAGAAGTTGTTACATTAGTGAACCAGTTATTAAGTCTAGATATTCACGCTAAAGTTAGACAAAATAAATGGTTATGTATGATGACATAGTTGTTTCATATGAATTATTCTAAAGACTTTTAGTTAAATACAGATTATAAAGTTTGGGTTAATATTTAAATATATTGAATTGCATAAATTTTTTCTTAATTGGAGGTTCTTGTAATAATTTATTGTTGCACATTCCAAAAGGAAAACGGTTCGCAACATAAAATAAAATGAAATAGTTTTATAGCTCCCAAGTAAGCAATTAAAGTTCTTTGTTGCAAAACAATTTTAACTCAATTAACTTGCGCGCTGAAAGAATCTGAATTGTTTAGGACTGAAGTTTGAGCATGAATCACTTTAAAATGCTTTTTAAAGCATCGATTAAAATAGAAGTCGATTAAACAAATGTTATGATTTTTATTTTAAAAGGAAGTCTAACGTTTGTAATCTGGTAGATTTAAAATTCTATTAAGAGTACACCCAGTCTCTATTAAGCGAAGGGAGTGTCTACAATACATTAATAAAAGATTATGTAAATCGGAACGCCACCACCTGCCGCCACTATTACAATTTTACAGCACGATAAAAAAAAGTATCTATAGGACAGCGTCGACGGCGTCGAGTTATGTAGTATAGATAAAGTTGTTTCTTTCGAGATCCTTTTTGAATGCACGTGCTTTTTTCTTCATAATTTTTGACCAGAGAACTAATTTTAACTCATGTACCTTAGAATGTGCGGCCGGATACTAATTTAAACAACTTCTTTTGAACACGAAAACCGTCTACTTCCAAGTTGTGTTTATGAAAAATATCTTTTCATGAAGAGAGTTTAAAGAAACTTAAACTTCTTCGGTTTTTTTTGTAAGAAATGTAAGTTATATGATGAAAATTATATTCGTCGAAGTTATTTTAATATGGACCATGCTTAAGGATCAGTTTGTTTCAAATGAATAATGAATTTTTGGATTTGAAAACGAGCAATGAATGATCTAAAACAAGAAGCCAATTAGCGCGAATAGCCGAAACTGTAGTCCCCGACGGGCGACGGCCGATGCCCGTCCATCGGCACTCCCTAATTGAACATTGCACTAATGAGTTGCGTTGTTCGCTGCATCCCGCAATTATTCGCCCCAGTG